ATTTTTTTCTGTGCAAATGCGACTTTTTACCTTCAAACGATCATAACTTCCTTCAAAGTCATTCATTTGGGAAGCTGAACACGGTATAATAAACTACAGGATTCAAGCTTTCTAACGAGCACCCAAGCGTTCCTGAAAGATCAGCAGTTCAAAAATTAGTCCCGTTGTTACTTTTTTTTTGAGGGGTATTCTTCAAGCCATTTTCTCGAAAACGCGAGGTTTTCTTAGGTTTCACTGCCCGTAACTTCTTGGAAGACCAATTTCATGTTTAATTAGGATGTGCTAGAAAGCTTCGAGCATGCGCTTGCACTACATCCCTTGCCTTGGTGCGCGCCACGCCTCGGGCGCCCTTCTAATTCGCTGATTCATTTGAAAGCTCATTTAGAGGGAAGCGTGGTTTATAGATGCTCTAGTATCAGTCATCTTACGAAAACGTAACGTGCTGGCTATTATCCGATATTACCAAGAATCCCACTGCCGGCCACCGGCCACCGAGAGGTACGACCCCCCTCCAAGCTCAACTGAGTACGACCCCCCGTTGTTACTCGTAACAACGTAGGGTTGACCCTGGGACTGACCAAAGATGCACACCCACGATTCCGCCATTCAAGGTGTGACTTCACATTGCAATAAAGTCTCATAGTGATGATCAATAGATAAACATGAGATTGTATATGCCTTATTCTCCCATTGGAAACCTTGCTGGAGAGAAAATGCTTCACGGTGAGGCACAGATATAAAGCCGGTACTCGCGTTGCAGGTAGCTTCAGGAGCGTTATCGTTGCCTTCTAATTTTATATCTGATTAATGGCTTCCATCCACTTCAGAATTGCTGTCATTTCTGTTATCAGCGAGCCCCATTCTTTCCTGCTTCTCTTCTCTTCCAGCAGACTAAAATAATATTTGGAGATCAATAATCGCTCTGCAGTGAAGATAATTACTGCATCGTGAAATCCTCGCACTGATGTCCCCTCATTTTACTGTGGAAGGGATGCTCTGTGCGGAGGTCATGACTTAATTTATGAAACTTCTTGGAAAAATTCGATATTCGGATAAAACTTATCGTTAGTCGAAGGTGGTGATATGATTTTTCAGGCGATTCTCTAGAGAACACGGTAAATTCAGGTCTGAGAGAAGATTTTCTCGATTTGGTAATAATTTTAACCGTCGCATTAAACGCAGAACATTTATATCAGCATCTATATCGGTTTTTTTCCCACTTATAATGGAAGTCAGATTTTTCATTCGACTTGTATACTATTATACATGTAGTTTGAGTTGATTTCATACCACAGCACCGCATAACATTAGACGCGGCTCTTATGTGGTAAAAGGCTTACGGTGATATCTTCGTGTGTTCCCATGGGAAGAGAAGCAAGTTTAACGGACGGCCTACTTAGGCTCTAAGCGAGCATCATCCTACGCGTCGGCAGCAGAAAGCGTTGTCTTCTAGAACACCATGCATCTCAGAGGTGGATACGCGTTCAATTAAGACTTTCGCGCTACGCCTTGTTTTTTAAACGTTGTTTGGTCAGTCGATGAAATCGTCCACATCATCCGAAGGTCCATTTTCGTGACTTTTCTTTTTCACTTTTATGCAGAGAGTAGACCCAAAGTTCATAATTTTGGTGTATCCGATGTGGCAAAGAACTTTCTTATTTTGCAAGTTCTGGCTCTGATTACAAGGTGGAGCTGCTTTCGAGGATTTTCCGTTGCGAAATGTGGATAGAACTCAACTTTTGCAGAGTTCTTACTTATCCTTCGTCTGCACATCCGATAGATGAAGTGGATGCTGACGCGGATGCCTCTATAAATCTCATCAGATGGTTTCAGAAGGCATTCAAATGAACACCAAGTCATTATTATATCCGGTCACTTCTTTATTCATATTCCAGTTGTTCCATTTTGCTACTAATTCTAGCTGAGTTCAGATGTTGTTTATCTGGTAAATTGTAGCGAACTGTTTTATACTTATGTCATTTTCTCCATGGATAATGTAGCAGAGTCGTTCTCATACCTCAATAATACTGTCCTTTTAAACAAGCCCGGCTTTTCGTATATTTGTATAATTTGTAATCCTTACTTTTCTTAAGCGACTGTCAGCTACCAGAAACAACTTTTATTTTGCCATTTCTGCCATATTTTCGCTGTGGTAAATTCCCTGCATAAAAATGTGTCACAAGTTTCGCTCGTTCTTCCCTGAGTTACAAACGCATGAACAAAGTAGTTTCTGAGTTCAACGCTTATTATACACATTGATCGGGCACGGTTGTCGAATTTGCCCATCTACATACACAGGGGGGGGCAAAAAAAAAGACATTTTGCCTATGTCGGACTTCGGCTCTTTTTTCTTCGCAGAGATTGCTGTCGTTGACGGGAGTTCCTCAGCAGAGTATTCCCTAAGTGTTCCTCTATTAGTGTACGCAGGCTCTCCTTCACTGCCCTCACCGTCTTCAGAATATGACGTCATCTGTCACCGTCGTCAGGCTCAAGGAGGTCTACCGTAAGAGCTTCAGCCTGAAGCTCTTACGCAATTTCGTGAATCGATTTAATGTTGGATAGTTTTCTAGAGGCATTAGCTACCACTGTGCAAATCCCCTCGGAACTAGCTTTCCAGTAAGGGTCGTTATGGTACACGATCCTTCGAAGACCCCATTGAGATCGACCAGTGCACCATGTTTCCAGGGCTAATTCTTCTGATGCCGTCCACGTACGTGGCCACTATGAAGATTTTCTTATAGAATGGAATGCACTCTTTAATAATAAGTTGGAACCGTTCGGTCTGAGTTGAGTAAAATGTGCTTAAATCCATCTGGAAGTGGAGGCAAAATGTCTTTTTTTTTGGCCCCCCCCTGTATATATACGCAGTCCTACCCCCTCCCTCTTGTATATAATACGTATAATCAAGGGGAGGGGAAGGAGCTGCGTCCAAAGGAAAGGGTTACTCTCTTCATAGTTCAAACGGGAAAATTCCACTTTGCTAGATTCGAGCCGAACGCACCTAAAAACAAGTGCATAATATGTATTAATGAAGAACACATTCCAATCTAACCCAAAACTTCATAATAGTCTACTACGCCGACTGCGTTAGAAGGTTCCCCACGAGAACATAATGCACGGTTGCGTTTCGTGCCGGAAGTTTATATAACAAAGTAACTAAGAGTCTCGTGCTCCCAGCTTCTTCGAAGGTCTTCCAAGCGCTACATATAGCTGCAGCGTTATTTAAATTCTCAATTTCCTAGTTCCTTGAAGCATTAACGATTTTCTCTGCTCCTAGGGTGCACATGATTTATCCAATGTGCTTTATTATTTCCTCGTTGTCGAGTAGTATTGACTAATTAGTTACATGTTATTCGTGTATGTTCGTATTTTGTCTTCTTTTTGTTTTCTTGTGGCAATTCCCAAGCTTTTTCTTGCATTTGCTGTAGCAACGTAATAAAAACATAACATAACATAACATAACGGTTCGAATTCGCGTCCCCGACGGATGGTGGGCCACTGCGGCGTTATCTGGAACGCTGATCAAATGGTTTCACACAGTTACAGCTAATGTCTCTAGGAAGCTATTCACAGTTAATCGATTGAAGAAATTATGTAGCAGCTTCAGGCCGGAGCGATTACGGTAAGCCTCGTTGAGCTCGACGGTGACGGCAGATGACGTCATATTCTTGGACAGTGAGAACAATTAAGGAGGGTTCTGCTCGTGCTAATGAGGGGACATATGATATATTTCACCGTAAACCTTCATCAACAGCACACCATGCACGAATAAAAGTTTGGTGATGGGCAAAGAGACTTTTTGTTCCACCCTCCCCCCCCCCTGCATACTATTGAGGGATACCCGCTTCTCATTACCGTTGCCTCACCTTATTCTAAAAAATGAGGCAACGCGAAAAAATACGGGAAGCAGACATCCGCTGTCACATGTTATAGATGGCATTCTGCAACTATTAATGAGAGTGAACTTCTCAATCACCAGGCAAGCGGGCCTGCATGGTCATGAATGTATTCTGGTTTGAGCCACGACCATCGTTTTGTCACTAGGCTTCCCTCCATTAACTCATCATCGCAATTTCTCAGTCGCATTCAATAGAAATGTCCCAGCTACGACTAGCTCCCGGTAGATCTTGCGACAATCATTATTTCTTTGCGAATTGAAGCACTTCTTCAAGTGACTCAAAATCGGCGAGAAAGTATCGAGGCTACCTTTGTAAGGTGGACGATCATGATAATCCTCCTCATCATCTTGTTCCTCAGCGTCTATCTCACTGGCAGGGTCTGGTTTGCTGGTGTGTTTCCAACTTATACCTGGCGAGGATTGGGGCCAACTAACTTCATGTCCATAAAATCGAGCCAGCGTTGCATTCGACGTCTTTAAGGAAGGTCGTTCAGGGTGTGCCAAGCTTTTCAAATGGTTTTTTGCATGATATTGGGGCACATGCGGGAACCACAGAACCATGGTTCATTTTTCCTGAACGGCCACAGTGGGGCCGTTTTGGTGTCACACCTTTTTCACCAGTTTTTCAATCAAAGTCTATTTGTAAGGGTTACTGACGGTCCTAATCATGAATATGGTACTAATTATTCATGCTAACTCCATTTTGCGCGAATTTTGAAACGTCAACTCGAAATGCAAAAATTTGTCACCACGAGGAATCGAACTAGGGACCCCTTTTCTGGTATTCAGAGGGCCGTTCAGGAAAAATTAACCATGGTTCTGTGGTTCATGTGCCCCTATATCATGCAAAAGACCGTTTTGAAAAAGCTTGGCACCCCCGACCTCCCTTATCGCCTTCTGCGAACGCCTATCTCGAGGCCAATCTTACGACACGTCATTTCCGTAAAGAGAGTAGCAATACCATTGGAGAGCTTCTCGCGTTTTATTAGCAATGGGTGCTACACCAAAATGATCACGTCCTGCCAACACGGTCCAAACGCGTTACGGCAGCCGTCCGGCGCAGCATTATCGGCACTGTTACACCGGGGCAGATTTCCATTTTTTAGTCGTGGGCCAGCACTCAGCGCCGTACATTGCCACTGGTCTTATGACGGTTCTATAGATCTTCGATTTCAGGCGTTCTGGAATCTTCTTGTCGCAGAGAACTCCCGTCATAGAACGCCACTTGGACCAGCGGCACTCATGCGAGTGTCACTTCGGCACTCATACTGCGATCAGATGCGACTCAAAATACTTGACATCTTGTAAGTGACGCTCTGTGCCGTTTATTTCCGCGAAACCGCATTCACCCGAGTCGCTTATCCACCAATGAAAGTGTCTCACGTTACGAAAATGGCTAGGCGATCGGACCAACCTTGCCTTTTGCCCGGGTAGGTTTTATCTTTGCAGGCGAGCATCATCAGAAGTGTCCATTGAGCCGGTTTTCGAAGATCTTATGAGACAGCATTCATGACGACAGCGAAAAGACGTACAGAAATCGCAGAGCCTTTATGCACCCAAACACGGGCGGGGTTTCATCGGGAGTTTGTTGACGTTTCCACTCGGCTCTCTGGGCTCGAACATCGTTCACGCAATCCCACTGTGAAATTTCTTCAAGAACTCCACGTTGCACATTGTACTACCTTGCAAGGAACCTTATCCAAGCCCACATAGAAGTGCAAAATGCGCAGGTTTCTGATTGTCTCTGTTTTTCTAGCAGAACGCGAGCGGTATTCATTGCATCTATGGTGCCAGAACCGTACGAATCCATACAAATTCATGGTGAGGCGGTCTATAATTTCTCCAATTATCTTCAGGCTGTGGGAGAGCAGACGGATTGGGCGGTAGCTGGTGCAGTCTGTGGGGCTCCCCTTCCTTCTTCCAAATCGGGATCGTCGTGCTCCGTTGCCAACTCTCAGGCACTTTCTTCTGCAAGGACTTGGATTGAAAAAGTTCGTCAACGATTCTGCAAGATCTGATTCTCATATTCGATTATAGAATCGTCGTCCCTCTGCTTTACCTAATCATCTCAAACAGCAAAGGATCGCTACGGCACAGTCTACGGACTACATGAACTCGACCCTTTGAACCGCCTCGATTTCATGCCCTCACCTGCGCTCTCTCGCTCAAACAATGCTCAAGGCTACCGTGATCTCGCACATACAACTTTTGCCACGCTATAATTGGATCACCCACTCCGGGTCCCTCCCCTCCAACGCGTATGGTCAGTCTTACGCTTTCAATCTCTCGAAACACAGAATGTAGATCCTAAGTAACCAGATAGGATCAAGAAACTATCAACAAATATTGAGACCAAAACTGCTACATGGACCTTTCCGAACAAGTTGTGAGTGGTCAAAGGTAAGCAAAAAATGCAGCAAGAAAGTACAGCGTCAAGCTGGAGCAACGTGGCCTCCGCATCTAAAATGAGTGTCATTTTCGTATCAGGCTGCTTGTTTCCCCCTATAACGAAATTTCAGGAGGAAATTAAAAATAGTGGTGCGGATAGACTAGCTCGCCACGACCGACGTTGCATTTTTTGAACTTTGACCTTTTATAACTTGCTTGGAAAGTCCACGTGGCAGTTTGGACCTCATAATTCGTGGTCAGTATCCTAACTCTTCAACTCCACTGACACACCCGGGTCTCCATTCAGAGTTCCATGAAGAAGTTGAAACCCTGTTGGTTAGTGCTCGCATGTTCCTCCTGGGGGTTTGGAGCCGAGCCAGGCGTCGTTCCCAACCTGTGCTCTAGCCAGTAACACACTACCCCTGACTGTATGCCCACCGTTCTCTAGGGTTACGGTAGCTGAATAGTAGATTGAAGTTAGCTTATAATCGCCTCCACTCCGCCATCCCACCCCATGAAAATCAATGTGTGAAACAGAAACATTTGGTAAACCTAGGCGTAA